CTGTGGGTAATCAGTAACATTCTGGCAACTAAAGGGAACAGATGGCATATTTCTGACTGCATCAGGTGACGGGCAGTGAGCATTAGGCACCTGGCAGAGACCCACTTGAGATTAATCCATAGGAGACAGTGAAATGAAATATTACCACCCAAATAGCTTGCCAGTAAATTTTGCTTTCTTTTTTTCCTTTAGGAAGCTGTAAACACTTGCATACATTTGCTTTTCTTCATTAACTACTAATGAGATACATCTAAAGTGCAGAAGTCAATTTTGTTCAATCCATTTGGCTACTTGACTGATTCATAAATATGTATTAGGTGCCTACTACATGCACATAACTTGGTAAACAGTTTTATTGAGATATGATTCACAGAACACACACCTCACTCACTCAGAGTGCATAAATTCCGTGACTGGTAACATGTGCACCTCATTGTCCACAATCTCCACAATCAACTCTAGAATCTTTTCATTACCCTTCCCAACAGAAATTCTATTCCCCTTACCCCCTACTCACCCCCATTTCTCCCAGCCCTAAAAATCTACTAATCTAATTTATATCTCTATATTTTTGCCTATCATGGGCATTTCATTTCTGTGGGTTCATTCAATATATGATCCTTTGTAAATGGTTTCTTTTTCTCAGCAAAATATTTTCAAAGTCCATTCATCTTGACATACGTAATAGCTCTTTTCAGGGTCAAATAATATTCTATTGTGCCACCTTGTGTACTCGTTCATCAGTTAATAGTCATTTTTGGTTGTTTACACTCTTTGGTATTATCAATAAAGCAGCTATAAACTTTTATGAACAAGTTTTATGTGGACGTCTCTTTTCATTTCTCTAGGGTATGTAACTGGGAGTGGAGTTGATGGGTAATATAGTAATTCTATGCTCAACTATTTGAAAAACTGCCAGATTGTTTTCCAAACAAGTTGCACCATTTGACATTCCCACCAGCAATATGGAAGAGTTCACATTTCTTCACATTCTCTCCAACATTTATTTTCTGTCCATTTGATTATAACCATCTTAGGTAACTATCCTGTGAAGTGACATCTCACTGCAGTTTGACTTATATATCCCTGATGACCAAGGATATTGAGCATCTTTTCCTGTGCTTATTAGCCATTCCTATATTTCTTCGAAGAACTGTCTATTCATATCCTTTGCCCTTCTTTTAAGTTTACTTATTTATTTCTTCCATGAGCACAAGAGACAGAAAGAACATTTGCTCCTTTTTTGTGGGTTGTCTTTTCAAATATCTGTAATAACCATTAAAGGTTAACTTAATACTTAGATATGACTTTTGCCTGACCCATCCTCCTTCTTCTCAGTGGACTGTCTTTTATTCAATCTCAGTCTATATAATTTAGGTAGAGCTGACCCCTTCCTTGTGGCTCCAGAATGGACACATGAAGTAGGTTTGGCCAAGTAGAACTTTTCTCTTAAATCAGAGTCTAATCAAGAGAGAAAAAACTAACACCAGTTATGTGAACAGAGAGAATTTAGTATAACAAATACTAATCAGGTGGAAAGTTGTTAACTGGGTAACTATATAAATAGGAAAACAAAAAATTCAGAATACTGGGTGGTAGCAACTATAGAAAGCAGCTTCTGCTCTGAAGTCAAGGGGGGGGGGAGGAAGAGGTTTGAAATATTAAAGCTTAAAAACGTGGAGAAGGATTGCTATGGAACTGACACCTCTGAGAAGATAGACCCCAATCCACTGGTACTCATGTTTATTGGCTCAGGGGAGGGACTCCATGGGCCAAGTACTCAGACAGATCTCGAGAAAATAAAATCCAGCCAGCTAGAGTTGGTATATGGTCCTCTGGTAGGGGAGACAGGCAGGCTGAGGTGCTTAAGCTGTTTCTGCAAGTGTTGCAAACTGGATTTAAGGGCCACTTGGTAAGAAATCGCTGCTGCTGGAGTGAAGGAGTGTTAATCGCAAGCACCAGAACCAGTAAGTTCCCAGGAAGCAACAGGGAAAAAGCAAGTGCTTTCCTCTTCAACCTTTCTTCCGGGTCCTACTTCTTGAACCCCTTATTGGAGGAAAAAGAAAGGTTGGAGGGGCCTGCCAAAAAGTAGCTGGGACTGGAGAATTGTGGTTTGCTAATTGGTGCAGCACTGAACAATGCAAGCAATCAGTATCAACAATGGTTAGGCCAACCTGTGATCTTATGATTAAGGTAGCTGGATCCCACATGGCTGACAGCACTGTTTAAGTCCTGGATGTGGTGGCTTAAAAAACATGCCAGGTGCATGTGTGGGCATGCTTAAAATCATGAAAGGAGAAATGGAAGAAAAGAGATTATAGCATGACCATGGCCTAAGAGGGAAGGGGTGGTGTTTTCTCACTTTTCCTCTCTCCCAGTGAGCACACATCCCCTGGGGATGGGGGAGGGAGAGTGAAAGAAAGAAAAAAAATCAACCCCAACTGTAATAACAAAAGCACTGCTTTCTGCCTGTGGATAGCACTGGAGAAATATACTTGCAGACTCTCTTCCCCCTGCTATCATGTCTAAATTGGAGTCCCCCTAAAGAGCCAGAAGAGCTGCAGAAACTCTTTATCAGAAGGTTGAGCTTCGAAACAACCGATGAGAGCCCGAGAGCCATTTTGAGCAATGAGGAACTCTCACGCACTGCGTGGTAAGGCAAGATCCAAACACTAAGTACACCAGGGCCTTTGGGTTTGTCAGGTAGGCCAATGTGGAGGAGGTGGATACAGACATGAATGCAAGGCCACAAATGGTGGATAGAGTTGTGGAACCAAAGATGACTGTCTCAAGAGAAGATTAAGACCAGGTGCCCACTTAACTGTGAAAAAGATCTTTGCTGGTGGCATTAAAGACGACATTGAAGAACATCACCAAAGAGATTATTTTGAACAGTATAGGAAAATTGAAGTAACTGAAATCATGAGTGACTGAGGAGGCAGTGGCAAGAGGTGCCTTGCTTTTGGAACCTTTGATGATCATGACTCTGTGGATGAGACCGTCACTCAGAAATACGATACTGTGAATGGCCACAACTGTGCAGTAAGGAAAGCCCTGTCCAACAAGAGATGGCTAGTGCTTCCTTCAGCCCAAGGTCATAGTGGTTCTGAGAACTTCAGTGGTGGAGGAGGTGGTTTTGGTGGTAATGACAACTTTGGCTGTGGAGGCGGCTTTGGTGGTTGTGGCTGTGGTGCCAACCATGGATATGGTGGGATATGGTGGGAGTGGGGATGGCTATAATGGATTTGGTAATGATGGTGGTTATGGAAAAGGCAGCCCTGGTTACTCTGGAGGAAGCAGAGGCTATGGAAGTTGTGGTTATGGAAACCAGGGCAGTGGCTATGGCACGAGTGGCAGCTATGGCAGCTCTAACAATGGAGGAGGCGGAGGTGGCTTTGGCGGTGGTAATGGAATCAATTTTGGAGGTGGTGAAAGCTACAATGATTTGGGCAATTACAACAATCTTCAAACTTTGGACCCCTGAAGGGTAGGAACTTTGGAGGAAGAAGATCTGGCCCTTAATGAAGGTGGAGTCCAATACTTTGCTAAACCATGAAATCAAGGTGGCTATGGTGGTTCCAGCAACAGTAGTAGCTATGGCAGTGGCAGGTTTTTTGGTTTTGGGAGAGGTTTTTCCTATAGGGTGCATGCGCTCCATCTTGGGCACACACGCACATGTGCCCAGCATTGAGTTTGAGCTACCGGGTCCAGGACTCAAACCGTGGTCTACTACACAGGAGTCCAGTGACATAGCCATTATGCCAACTGCTGGTCCCATGGCAGGTTTTAATTAACTGCCAGGAAACAAAGGAGAGCCAGAGAAGTGACAGAGAAGCTACAGGTAACAACAGATTTGTGAACTCAGCCAAGCACAGTGGCAAAAGGGTCTAGCTGCTACAAAGAAGACATGTTTTAGACAATACTCATGTATATGGGCAAAAAATATGAGGACTGCATTTGTTACTGTATAATAGATTAATTTCTGTTCTGTGGAAAGTGCAAAGCATTCCAACAAAGGGTTGTAATGCAATTTTTGTTTTTGCACCAATGCTGTTGATTGCTAAATGTAATAGTCTGATAAATGTCTTAAAAAAAGATATATATATATATACACACACATTAAATTTATGATGTATGAAGATCAAAATATTTATATATTGGAATAAAGGGAAGAACTATAAATAAGCACAATGTATATCTTAACTAAAACATAGGAGGGGAAAGGATCAAGCAGCAGCAGAGGGTCAATTCTGCAGCACAGTGGTAGAAAACTGTGCAAAGGGAGTTGGATTCCACATGGTCAATTGGGATTTGAATCTTGGTCCCAGCACTGGAAAAACATACTGGGCATGTATTGATATATGCCTGCTCTGGCTCCTGAAGGGATGGAAGAATGGAGGAAAAAAGAATTGCCATGTGACCAGGCCATCTTGGGAGGTACTTTCTCTGTCTCCAGCATTAAAAATATATATCCATATAATTTGAAACATGAAGGCAAGCTTTATAACTTCTAGAAGAGTTGAAAGTTTCTTCTGTGAATGTAAAAAAGGGACTGCCTCTTTTTGGTCACAAGACTTCTAAATTATTATTATTATTGTAACTATTTCCATATGCTTGGGGGTGGGTGAGAGTAGGAGTAGATAATTTCACATTGAAAAAACACCTGCCCAAAACCACTTAGTAAGAAAAGTGAACATGGGACCAGCAAATGGATTCCTACGTAGTTGACCGAAGTTTGAGTCCCAGACTCAGCAGCTTAAAATACACTGGGTGCCTGTGCATGTCCAAAATCCCAAGGGGAGTCTGGAGGAGAAAGGATTGTGGCATGGCCATCCCCCTGAGGGATGATTTCTTGCTTTCTGTCTCTCTGTTTTTCCAGCAAAGCATATGTACCCTATAACAAAAATCTCTCTAAAATAACAAAAGTGAATGCTATCACACCTCAACTCATCTACTCTTTATTTCACAAATAATTTTAGACAAAGACATACGGGTCATTATTCATTTATACAAATAATTTTATTATAAATACCTCTACAGTTTAAAAAAGTACATTCATTTCCCACATCAGAATGTCTTTTAAAGTATTTGTTACCCTTCTACACTCTGTTTCTCAGACAGTACTTTTGAGATAGATCTGTTCCGGATTCTTTTTCTCTTTCTTTTCTTTTCAGAAGATGATTTTGTATCCTGTGCTTTTTTCTTTTTCTTCAAACAGCTAAGAGGATTGGGGCCACTTATTTTCTTACGCTTTTTTCTTCTTCTCTGTTCAGAATTTTTCACTAAACCCTGTTCCTCTTTGAGTTGTTTGATACTTTCTTTTTCATGCACTGAAACAAGCTGACCTGACTCTACTGCTTTAACGAAGGCAACTGTCTTGGGAGAAGGTTTGTCCAAGACTATAGTGTTCTGAATAATAAACATGAGAGGAACTCCGGGCTGTTTCTTCACTTTTACAGATAAATTCTGATCCTATTAAAAAAAAAAAAATAGAATTATTTAGTTCAAATATATCAATTAAATTAAGATGCCTTAAATAGATTTCTAAGAACTTAAAAAAGAATTGTATTAAAAGAGACTTATATATTTTATTTTTCAAATCACTTTGTCTCATTCATGGGCGTTTATTTTATAATAAATCAAGGAAGAAAAAAACTGAGTTGAAACAGTGTATGTGGTGGCAGAGTGAATTGGATTTATCATTTTCTAGGGCCATAGATTACAAACTAATATGAAGGTAAATGTGTGAGGTAATTTCTCTCGAGTCTCCTCTAAGATATTATTTGGAAAACACTAAAAATGCTTGAAGGGACCAAAGTAATAGAAATGAAGCAGGAATTAACTGACTTAGTCTCTAAATTCAGCGCTGCCCATAACTGTGTAATTTTAAAATTCTGAAGAGGATATTTAAGCAAATCTGTATGTAGGTAACTTCTGAATAACTACTCTGAGAGTCTTCTGCCTCCCAGTTCGAAACATTACATATCGGTTGTATAGTCTTTAACAATAGGAACCAACCATGACTTTTTAAGAAATAGCATGAAATACAGGAATATGATAAAACATTTACAAATACAGAATGTACTTATCACCCCTTCAAGAATTCCAAAACAAATAATGTCTTTGTCAATAATTTCTTATTTTGAAAAAGGAAACTTCAAAGACTAAGAAAATCAATATGCTTAAGGTTTTCAACTCAAATTCTCCAATGGCAATCATTTTTAATGATGACAAATTAACTTAAAAGCCTGATTTTTTTAAAGCCTAAAGCTAATAAATCACTTCTACTTAATTGCTTCTGATTAAATAGCTCCATATGAAGTATAAATAGAAATGTTTAAAACTGACTAGTGTTTTTAAAAAGTAGTATTACCTGTGTTGCCACAAAATAATGATGAGGATTTCCCTCTTCAACCATGGAAAGCAGACATTCTGATCCACTCACTACATTCTTGAAATGGGGACAATTTCGAACTTGGCATTTTTGAGCAATTAGTTTGGCCCCATATAAGTCCTTTCCCAATGTTTCTAACTCTTTTAACACACATCTGAAAAAAAAATGTTATCAGTGGCCCACAATTACAATATAACATATACATTTCAGTTGCTTATATGAAGGTAAGTACGAAAAATACTCAACTGTTAAAGTAAAGCTTACTATTACAATCTAAATTTGTCACCTGATAACCATTTCACTCGTAAAAGAAGACTTGAAAAATGTGTACACCAAGTAGAAAAAGCAGTAACAATAGCTATAAGCTACGGCTCACTTATGTTTCAGGCAGTAACAAACTACTCTTTACATAATCATTGCTTAATTTTAAGTATACCTATAGCATATCTTTTTAAAAATTTATTTTAAATTTTATTATTGTTATTTTCAAGTTGACCAGTGAGAGAAACAGAGAAAAAGAGAGGAAAAATGAGAAAGCAAGCCACCAGGTTCAGGGCACTAGACTCCCACAGTTAGCCATGTGGGAGTCTAGTGTCCCAACCACTGTACCACCTGCCGGCCCCTCAACTTATTTAGAGCATCCTGTTCTGTCATTTATCCTATTCTATTATTTCATCCTATTCTATTATTTATCATTATTATTTTCAAGTTGACCAGAGAGAGACAGGGAGACAGAGAGAGAAAGGAAAAGTGAGAAAGCAAGCCATCAAGCCCAGGACTCAAATCACATTTACCCATGAAGGAGTCCAGTGCCTCTGGGCCACCTGCCAGGCCCCCAACAGCTTACATTACAACTTATCCTACTTAGAGCATCCTATTCTGAGATTTCACATAACAAACTCAAGTTCAAATAATTAGTAAGTAGCAGAGCTGAGACATGAATCCAAATGGTCCGACAACTGCCTTTTACTTCAATCATGGTGTAATAAGCATCTACTTCAGGTACAAATTGGTACTTTGAAAATATTTTCAGTACAGAAAAGTGAAAATTCTCAAGTCATCAGATTGTTTAAAACTAATCACAACTTTTCACTCTGCATTTTCATATCAACCTAAACCAATGTTTCTCAAATTCTCATGTGTAAACTAACCATATCAAAATGACTTAGTGATACTAAATTGTATTAATTTCTAGCTTCTCTCTCATCCCCAAATCTGTACCTCTTGTGGAGGAGCCAAATATTAGCATCTTAATAAGCTCCTCCAGAACTTCTTCTTTCTCACTAAAAAAAATTATGAGGTACATTAAGTCAAAAATTTCTTCAACCCTAGTTAGCCTTTGCCAGATTCTTCCTTGCTTCACTCTATTACCTTTAGTTTAGTTTTTTGTTTTTTTTTGTAAGAAAGATTCTGCTTCCTTCCACTACCAGTTTTGACCTCTATTTTGAGTATCACCAACTACTTACACATTATTTCCTATAGGATATTCTGCCATCAGTCCTTCAAATTTACCACGTCTAAAACCAAGTTTCTTTCCTGCTTCTTAATTTCTCCTTGAACATTTGAAATTATTATTGTCCCTACATACCTAAACAGAAATCATAAATCATATTTGACCTTTTCTTTTTTACCCCTACCTTTACTCCATCAGCTATTAGTCCTATCTGTCTTACTAATGTCTCCTTGTAGAATCCCTGGACTCCCATGTTTCTTCTAGGTTCAAGTTTCAATTATTTCTTGACTGGACAACTGCAAAATGGATTTGCCTGTCTTCACTTTCTTACTCCTCCAAGTTATCCCTCATACCCTTCCGAAAAGAAAACCCAGATCTGATAACATTATACAGCTCTGCATCTTCAGCTGACTCCAAATTTCTTCAAACTTAAGTGAGTAAACCCTCTAGATCTAAATACTTGTACCCAAGAAATACATTTCACTGAAACACAAATGTTCAGATTCCTTAAAAACACAAATAACAAATACTTTTTAAATCTTAGAAGATATAGAAATCAAATGCAATTTATGCATTTATTTGGATCCTGATTTTAAAAAGGCTTCTCTCTCTCTTTATGATACAAACCAAATTGATAGAACATGCTCTGAAATAACTCATCAATAAGGAGGTAGGAATTCAACAAGATTGGTCATGTTGATAACTGCAAAAGCTGAATGACAGATGTTTCACTATATTACTCTATTTTTGTGTTTGCGAAAGTCAAAATCAATTCTTTAGAATAAAAATGCTATAGAATATAATCTCGTGCAGTTCTTTTCAACCTTTATTATATCCTTTATTATATTCACTTCATTTACAAAGTTAGTATTTCTGAGGCACACAGGGGTAAATGGATGAATTGTTGTATCCAGGAACAACCAATTCAGGGGAACAGGTTATTGAAGGATTTGTCTGGAAGCTCTGAAGGTGATGTGAATCAAAAAATTTGAGGGTATCTGTAACCTTGTTGAGGCACTACTTGAGAAATTCTGAACAAATATGGAAAGTAGTTCATGGAATAATGTTATAAGAGAAAAGCAAACCATTAACATAACACACAGAGTAAAAGCCCATTCTTGTGTTTTTGTGTGCATGTATACAAAGAATTAAATGGATAATAAATCAAATGTTAACAATGGTTTCTCATGAGAAGTATTATGATGTATCTTAATTTTTTTAAGTAAATATTCCAGCATAAAAAAGAAATACTAAGTTTCTTAATGCTTCTTCACAATATGACCTTAATTTATCTCCTTAGTTTGATTTCCAACTAAATAATGAGCTATAACCTTCACCCCAGGTATTTCACAACTTTTTTTGGGTTATTCAAAACACTTTCACAAAGAAAGTCACTTTTTCTGCATCCTAAATAGTCACAAATGAACGTGCTCAAATGTTATCTCCTCTCAAAAACCTTCATTCCCTCTTCTCTCTCCCATCCCACAAGATGCCAACCTAAGTGTTGCCACATTTTGTTAAATGTGGAAACATGTGTGGAGTGAAAACACATCAATTAGGGGGTTGACTTATGGGTTTTCGGGCCCTAAGGAATTTGTCCTGTTCGCCAAGGTACATCCCACAAGATGCCAACCTAAGTGTTGCCACATTTTGTTAAATGTGGAAACATGTGTGGAGTGAAAACACATCAATTAGGGGGTTGACAAATTCCCTAAGGAATTTGTCCTGTTTGCCAAGGTAACCTCAGTGGCTGAAGAACTGATAGGCATGTGGCTGGAATTTAATAAAGACAAGTAAATACATAAATGATCTCAAGCAAATTTCTGAATCCCCAGTCCTCAGTTCTTTCCCTGAGAATCGAAGGTGTTACCTGATAAGGCAGTGGTGATGTTGGAACACTTTTTTATATAAACTGGCTAGTGATGCAAGTAACAGCAACCACTTAGAGTGACAGGTTTTTGGAAATGCACGACGTACACTATACTTTCACCTTACAACCACCTTATAAGTAGTTATGGTCTTTTACTAATGAACAATCCCATGCTTAGAGGGGTTATATAAATTGCCCGAAATGACAAAGCTGGTAGGACCGGGACAGAGACTAGAAGCCAGGTCTCCGACTAGAATACACATGTTGTCTGCCAGGCTAGTGGCACGTAATACGGGAGGGCACCGGCCACTCCGCCTACAGAGCAGACGTTCGCGGGACCTGACCTGACCTCCTCGGCGCCTCCACTGACTTTGACAGTCAGTGGGCGGTGATTTCGCGCCAGCGGCTGGCCTCTACCCACCCTCGGGCACCCTGAGCGTCCTCCCCGGCCCCGCGGGGCCCACCTGGTTGTGCACAGCTGCATTTCCCCCATAAGGTAGCGGGGCAGCTGCTCCCGCAGCTGGATGCGGCCCCGCAGCGCTGCCTGACAGAAGGTGCCATCCAGCAGGATCTGGTACGGCTCGCGGACTCCGAAATTGTTGCGGAAGAAGCCAAGATGCTTCTTGGCGTGTTTCTGCCTCGTGATCTTCATGCCTGGCTCACGCGGCCTGAGGCCCCAGGACCAGGAATTGGGAGGAAACGAGTCGCGTAAAGCCTAAGGCCCTCAAAGCCGGCTTCTTCCGGAAATGAGGCACCTTTGACCCCGGAACCAAACGCCCAGTGTCCTGGCCCTGCCCCCTGGTTTACGTCACGCCCAGACGAGCGCGCGCTTCGAACGCGGTGCTCGCGCTTAAAGGGGCGGGCCGTCGAGGGAGGGGCTTGTGCCTACGCGGGAAAGCCACTAGGGTGCGCGATTCCGAGCAAGGGCGCACATGCGCAGTCGTGGGCCGGAGTTAGAAATTCGCGGCTGAGTTTGGCCATTACCTGGCACGGAAGGACTGACGGTGTAATAATCAGAGGTGATATTGGCACTTAATATGTTCTAGGCACTGTCCTAAGTGACTTGCTCTATATTATTCGCCTTAATGTTTGTAACTCCCAAGTGAGAAGGAAAGGAGCCAACGTATCTAGAGCAGCTATGACTGGGGAAGTTTTTACTGGCCTCTTTCCTACAGAGAAGTAAGCGCGTTTACTAAAGCCACGTGGTTCGTTAGTGTCTGGAACCCACGTCTGCTGCCTGAAGTTCAAACGCCCGTGCTGCACAGCACCATAAAGAATGATTGCATTCGGGAGCCAGGTGTCAGGGTAGAGGGTCCCAGTGTTTTGCATCTCGTCCTCCCGTAAGACCATCCTAAATCACCCACATGAGTGATTTGGAAGAACTCAAGAGCTTAATTTTCCAAGAGTAAGAATTGCTCAACTTCAAGCCTGATTCAGCCACTAATCCAAGCCATTTTCTCCCTGGGCTACTCCGCAGGAGAGCTGGTTCAGCTTCTGCGATGTCAAGCTGATTACAGGTCTAGATTTTAGGACTCTTATGCCCGTAAACTCTGAGGTAGGCAGACTACATACTCGGCTAGTGACAGGGAGGTACAAACCTGGCTGAAGGTTGAAAAATTACTTGGTCAGTTTGATTAATGAAGAGAGCAAATTAGAACATTTCAATTTCCCCAGTGGAAAACTGCCGAGTCTCCACTTCAATTCAAAGCAAAATAACCAAAGTTTAGGGAATGTAGAATTTTGCGTTTTTGTTCTGGCCTGGACTCTGTCCCAGTTCTAGTTTTGGCTAAAGATGGAAAGAATTCACACAGAAAAATGATTTACAACGTGATTGAAATGTATCGTTTGCATTTGGGGTTTTATTTTAATATATAGGTTTATGAAATTGGAACTAAGATCTTCTATAATGTTAGCCCTGACCTGAGTCCCAGCACATCACTTAAATGACTGCTTTTATTTAACTGAAAATAAATTTAGGAACTGGAAGCCCTGAAAAGTCATTGTAGGGTTTGGAGTCTCCGTCCTTGAGTGTAATTGCTCATCGTCTTCCAGTTTAAATCTGCTCTTTATCCATGTATGCCAGCCAACTCTCCCCAGAGACTCTACTCCCACCACAGATGGGGAAATGATACCACTCTAGCCTTGTAGAACAGTTGAAACATTTTTTGTTTTAGGCTCACAGATTTATCTACCAGCTTCTTGGCTACTTTTCAGTAATAAGGAAAACTTGATTCCCCACTGGGGATTTGTGTCATATTCTAGTATAGTGTGTGTGTGTGTGTGTGTGTGTTTTAATTTACTAAACTACATCATTTTTTTTTCAAGCACTGTGTAAAGGACAGTGCCAATGTGCACACCTACCCTTATTACAAAAATATGAAGATACCTTATAATGGTGATTACCAAGTTTAAAATAGAGTTTTCTATTACATCAGTGTTTATCAAAACATAACTCTAGGAAATGCAGAAAAGGCTCTTAGTGTGCTTTTTTCAGAATCCTCATTCCTGATTTGAAACACTATTAAGAGAGGGGGCGTACTATGGTTCTCTAATTTATGATGGTTTGATTTGCCAGCTTTATGATAGTGTGAAAGTGATACTCTTTCCATAGAAACATTACTTCAGATTTTGAGATATGTAACACTTTATTATAAAATATGTTTTATGTTAGATGATTTTGTCCAACTGTAGGCTAATCTAAGTATTCTGAGTATATTTAGGGTAGGCTAGGTTGGGACCAATAGATTGCATAACAGTTATGTTGCTGGACTCCCACGTGGCCAACTATAGTTTGAGTCTAGACCTGGCAGCTTAAAACTCAAGCTAGGCCTGTGTGCATGCATGCCCAAAATTCGGAGAGGAGTATGGAGGAGAAGGGATTGTAACAAGGCCCTCTCCCCCGAGGAGGGGGAGAGATGTGCGATTTTTTTTTTCTTTCTATCTATCTGGCATCTGCATGCACCTGATAGCAAAAATCTCTCTTTAAAAAAAAAAAAAAAAAAAAAAGTAGGCTAGATTAAGCTATGATGCTTGGCAGTTTTGCTGTATTACATGCATTTTTTTTTAATTGCCAGAGGACACTTATGGTCTCCAGAGAGAGAAAGAGAGAAAGCGTGACAGAGAGGGAGAGAGAAAGCACCGTGTATTGGGGCATGGACACACTGCAATCTCTGATCCTTCATTTCTCTATCTCTTGGTATTTGAGGCAAGCGTGCACATGTTCCTGGATGTTTTTCATGTCACCAGGGCCAAGATTCAAATCCCAGACGCTCATGTGGAATCTGGCTCCCATAACTGCTAGGCTATGGGACTGACCCAACACATTTTTTACTTACTCTATTTTCAACTTATGATATGTTTACCTAGATTTAATCCCATCATGAATCAAGGAGCATCAGTATTCAGAGAGGAAGTGACATTTATTACAAAGGTTATCATAGTGCTCAATGAGGTTCCTGAGAACTTTTTAAAATAAGATTTTTCTAGTGTGCACACATTATTCTAATGTGTGCAGTTGCTAGAGAGAGAGTGGGAAAGTACCCCCCTGTGAGGTGTGGCTATGCTACAACTCTTTCTTCTCCATTTCTCCATTCTATCAGGATTTGGGGCATACGCATGTGCACGCACGCACACACACACACACACACACACACACACACACCTGGCATGTTTCTAAGGGCATTAGCTCTGGGACTCCAACCACTCAGTTGGTCATGTGGGATCTAGCTCCCTTGACCACTGGACCATAGGGCCAGCCCCTGAAGAACATTTTGTAGCGAAGTGCCACTGTTTGTCTAATAGGATATTTTCATTAAGTGTTCTACTTAAAACACTTTTTCCAGATGCCAAATGATCTTGCACTAGAAAATCAATAGTATTTAGCACAACCAAAACAGAAGCCAAATATAGCCCTTATTGGATGAACTATTTTGATATAGGTTTACATTTTATTTTGAAAAGTATTATAATATTATTAAAAACTCAAGACTGGACAGTAGTACAGTTGTAAAACTTGATTCTGTGAAGCAATTCTACATGAGAAGTTTCCTGATTCAACTTCTCCTCCTTGAGGAGGCCTGGCACTCATGTGCCTGTGATCCAGGGCTGACCGATCCACAGGGAGCGGATTATGGCATGAGGACCTTATTGGGGGTGTTGTATCTTTTTTTCTTTGTCTCTCATTGATAGAATAAATTTAAAACATAATTTAGTAATAAAGTTTAGTAATAAAGTTTAAAAATGTTTTAAATTTTACAGCGCAGGAACAATAATGTCTTAGCATTGGTAGCTGTTAGCTTTTTTGTCAGGTCACTACACTGGATATTTTCCATGCCAAACAAACATTCACATTTAGCTGAGCCAGGTAGGAATTAATTTATTTTTCTTTCTTTTTTTTTTTAAATACTATTGATGTTCTTTATTATGTCTGGATTAAATATAACTTATAATGTGATGTTGTACATGATTTTGAAGTTTTTTCTTCATGAAATTTTAATGAAGCCAACTTGACATGAGAATGATTTATTCTCAAAAGGTATGACTAATTCCCAAATAGGACTTTTTCATGAAAGATTCATGGCCTAAATGGAATTAAACAGGTAAACAATAAATGCAACTCATAAAGATTATTTTGTTTAATTTCATAAAGGTTAATCAGTTAAGATATCCATTGTGATATATTCTGCATTGTATTCATATTTAAATATTTATAGACATATGTTAACAGTCATTAGCTTAAATAGACTGTAATATTTTCCCTAACTTACCTAGCTCACATGCTCTTTAAATAAATAATTTAGCTAAATAAATATTTTAAAACAACTTATGTAAACTGCTGTGCATTGCGGTCTTACTGATTTCTTCACTAAGATCCTCTAGGATAGACTCTTGCAAACTGCCTCACTGTGAAACTTTATGTCAGAAGGTGTTAGAAAGTTTCGATCTGGGGACTGTCACATTTTCAAAAATAATTTTTATGTTTTCCAAATAACAAATGCTTATTATAACAAGTAGGGTGAGACTAGAAGATAGTGTAATGGTTACGTTGCTAGATTCCCGTGGAGCTGATCACGGTTCAAGTCCCAGACCTGGCGGCTTAAAACTCATGCCAGGCGCATGTGTGTGTGTGTGTGTGTGTGTTTCTAAAATCCCAATAGGAGAATGGAGGAGACAGAATTGTGGTGTGTCCATCCTGCTGGGGGATGATTTCTTGCTTTCTGTCTCTTTGTCATTCCCTGTCTCTTTGGCAAGTGCACACACACTATATTCAACATATTCGTTTCCTCTCTTACCCAGATAATACATGTTAGCAATCTACCGTAGATCCTTGTGGAATGTTTCCATATTCACATTCTTATCTATCATATGTATGTGTATCCATATATGTATGTGTGTATACACACATACACAATAAAACATTATCACTTACATGTATTTTATTTTCTCACTTAACAATCCTTGTAGGAGTCCCAAACATGGGCCCAGTGGTAGTGTGGTGGTGAAGGTGGCTGGATCCTACACTGTCTGACTGCATGGTTTGAGTCCCTGACATGACAGCTTGAAAAACATGCTGGACACATGTGTGCAAGCCCAAAATCCTGAAAGGAGAAATGAAGGAGAAGGGATTGTGGCATGACCATTCCCATGGGAGGTTGCTTTCTCACTTCCCTCTTTCTCTCTCAGTTTCTCTCCTTTGGCAAACACACGTGCCCTCTAATAAATAAATAAATATTCCCTCTAAT